TCACTGTGCAGTGCCGCAACTGAACAGGGACCCCCTTGACCAGAGCATATCAAACTGTTCCTTTTTGCTCTATGCTGCGGGTGCCCAGTATTGCTACCTACCACATTCCTGAGCAATCCTGCCTGCTGATGGCCCAGCGGGCTGGTGGGGTGACGGCCCCCCATCTGCCCCGGGTCCCTCATCGGCTTCTGCTCGCCGTGCTTTATCCGCTCGGAAATCGGGCCAGTCAACCCGCTTCAAGCGGGCAACAGGCTCCACAGCGGATTCGCCATGCTCCACTGCTTCCGCAAAGGGCAAGTCAGTAGCGATAGCAGGACTGATCCCAGCTCAGTTAAGGTTAGCCATGCAGCACTTCATGGACTGGGCTAACACTTGGATTCCACTATCACCACCGCTTCGCAGTCAGTGTTAGTGCAGAGTGGTGCTGCACTCAGGGCAGAGTAAACTTACTCCCCCACTAGCCAGGTCTGGCCGTCCGACATTCACCCCCAGTTCTCGTGCTCTGAAGTCTTCTGGCAGTCTCTCTACTACCAGCACCTACCGTGGAAGACGTCTTTTCATTGGTATGGCTCACCAGTTTACACACCGGGATGGCCCCATGCCTCCTGGGCCAGCTACAACGACCGCCATATGCCATGAACTATACTAGTCAGACAAACTCCACAATGGTTCACTCAGGCTTGACACCCCATTGTCCCAGGAGTGGCCCACTCAGAGGCACCACCTAACTGTTCTGGCTCTTCACCGACCACTTTTCGGGCTTCAGAATTGCATCATAGCCATGGTTTTCGAACACCACTCATCGCTGTGGCTTCTGGCTACTGGCTCGGGCTACCCACTTTGACCTTTCATGACCTGCATTCCAGACCAGGTTTTTAGGTTCTTCCTTCGGTTCTACAGCCGGATCACCCGCACATAAGAAGCGTAAACACTCATCGTCTTCTGCAGGTCCAAATGCAAGAAATCTCGCTTTACATCTAAGCAAGATATTTCTTCATCGGTTTTTATGACAGCAGTCTGCTCTCTCGGAGACGTTACCCTCTTTAGCCAGCCGCCTCAAATAAATCTCCACTCCCCGACAACTGACCCAGATTCCCTGTGTGTGGATCTCCTTTTGGATCCTCAACCGGATTTGTAGCCAGCTCCACTTCTGACTTCACATCTGGTTCCAGCTTTGCATACGGCTTCACATCCAGTTTTATCTTCGGCTTCACATCTAGCTCCGTCAGTCTGTCTAATACATGACAGGGCCCATTCTTATTATTTTTTAAAAATTGAATTTGCACTCAATAAATTCATTCAATAATAATTCTTCAACTTATCCGGATTCTACTTATGACTCACATCTAGCTCCAACCTGTGAACATGCTAGGCCTTGGGGTGTCTGCTTTCCCGTATTAGGTACAGCTGGTGATGTTTCCCATTCAGGCGTGCACCTCTGCCTTGATCAAGGCATGCAGGAACTATATGTACACTCTATGGGCCACCTTATGTCATTAGGTGAATGTGAGTCTGGGTCATGCATGCTAAACCCTGACTGCGGTTCGAACCCACTACGCTACATTACTCATTGCTACTCTACACATCAGACCGCCGGCTAGCACCCGAGACTCCCCTACCGGGGGCCAACTAGGTGGAAAACAGAGATATATGCTAACCGGGTGAAGTGCCACCATTTCCTGGAGCTGTCCCTGTGAATAAAACACAATACGATCAGCCTACCATGTGTGTTTTATTCTGACCATCGCTCTTTTGCTCATTAATGCCTGTCGTAGATGTCAATGCCCTACTCGCAGACTCATTGTCCCATCGAGCCTTCCGATGTCATTGGAGGCACTCAGGTGTGTACCTATCAACCGTAGTCTCCTTACAGGTTCCCCTCTATCCCTGACCAGTGATCACACCATTCAGTTCAGTCTCCATGCCTTGGGCATCCTAATTCACCGAACTTCACGTTGTCATGAACTGTACACACCCCTTTCATCTAATAATTCACGGCTCTTCATATATTTTTCCGCTCGGCCTGGCCATGCCCCACATTACGTTCCGGACACAAGTTCCTCTGTAGTGAGCACGTCCAAAATGTATGTATATGTACATTTACTGTGACTGTTACGAGGTCTGGCAAAAGTGTGCCTACTGTCCGTACTCACTTTTGTTAATGGTTTGCCATGCTTGCCTTTCCGACTGCGTCCCTCGTAATTCGAAATGAAGAGGCGGGCTTGGCAAGTATTTGTCAAATTCACCATTTAACCGCTCGCGCTCTTTGTTCCCGTGAATAAATGGAAATGTTTTAATGCTTAGATGTAAAATGAAGTAGGATATTTGGCTACTTAAGTTTTGGAGTGATCTTCCATCTTTGGACACTCCTTAAGTACAGTTTCTCTATTCTTGCAGTGCACGAATGACCTTAATTCTCCATGCATGTAATGATATGGCCGTAGTCCTTCAACTCAAAGATACAAATGGCCACTTTGAACCTAGTACAATGTAACAGTGCTCATCATTCATTTCTTGATGAATACTTTAGCGTCTTTTTACATGTGGGCTGGCCTTCCTACACAATCACCTTCGGTGGTGGATGGTCACCGAACACTTGTCGGTCAGCGTTCCTTTTGTATCTCCAGGTCAGAACATGACTGTGACGACGGATGTGTAGCTATTCAGATGGGGCCTCTCTTCCTCCACTCTATGCCTCCGGGATCTGGGACATCGCCTCTTAGGACAAATACATCAACAAGTTAGAACTCCAAGCAGTGTTCAACGCTCTTTGCCACTTCCGACAACATTTAGTTGGTCATTCTGTTCGAGTCCAGAGCAACAACTCCGCGGCAGTTGCATACATAAATTGCCAGGGCGGCACTCGCTCTCCTCAATGCTGTGCCTTTGCGTGGCCGCTCTTCATGTGGATGAATGATCAAGGGACCACCCTCTCGAGGTGCTGTCCAACTGACAGTGGACTCTTCATCTGAACGTGGTCGGCCAGATTTTCGTGAAGATCAAGCATTCTCATATTGACCTCTTTGCATCTGCCAACAATATCCATTTCCCGACGTTCTGCCCCTGGTTCCCTCACCTGCAGGCATGGACAACAGACGCCCTACAGATCAACTGGTCAGGCCTTCTGGCGTACGCCTTTCCTCCAGTCTCTCTCATCCCGCTGTTCCTGTCCTAGATAGAATGGGAGCCATGTCAGATCCTCCTCATTGCCTCGTTCTGGCCTTGCCAACTGTGATTTCCAAGACTGACAAGACTTCTGGTGCAACAGCCGCTGGTCCTTCCAGTCAGGGAGGATATCCTTTGTCAGCCCAAGTCGGGTATCCTCGGCCCAGCACCGGAGGGTCTTCACTTGACGTGTTTGTCCAATAATCCTTCAGAGCGTTGGGCCTTTCTGCAGACGCTGCGTCCATGGCGGCCCGGGGTCAAAAGAAATTATGTTCAGTTCGGACTCTCAAGTAGTATCTTGCCAGAGCCAAACTTCGCCAGGAATCTGATTCCCAACTTTCCGTCACCACGATGAAACCCTTTCACCCAGCGTCAAGGGACACTATTGCCTGAGGGACGGTCTCCGCTATCATCTTTGCTAACCGAGACTGGCCGGCACAGCATAATGAGATGACCTGGACTGACATCAGGGGCCCACGATGTTTGGGTCGCCTCTGCGTCCTGGTCGTACTTCAGAGGGATTCCCCTTGCGGAAACCTGCCAGGCGGCTTGTTGGAAATCTCCCTCTACCTTCAAAGATTGCTACCTGAAAGATGTTCTGTGGAGCGAAACAGCCCATGGTAGAGCGACCCTATGTTCAGCGGTCCAGGCAACGTCCAGTGCTGTTCCAGACAGGGCTGTGGATAGTTTGACTTATGAGTTTCGTCTGATGAGTACCCACTCTTGTGACACCCACCGTATGCTTCTTCTAGTTATTACTTTCCCATTGCCGACCCACCTCCAGGGTACAGTGCCACTCTGCATATGTAGGCTGGGCAGGGGTATGTGAATGCAGGAGACTCCTCCCCCACGTTGTGTGGGTCGGGTCTCCTAGTGATACTTACCTCTGCCCAGCCCTTCCTTCCCCACTTTGGCCCCAGTGATATTCACTGCTTCGAAAGAAGGACAAACATGGTGGCAGGACCGCAGTGCATTGTGGAGGGTCAAGGGGCAGTATGCGTAATCAAGTCTTTCCAGCAAATTGTAATAGACACATGGAAAATTTGCATATGTAGGCCGGGCAGGGGTAAGTATCTCTAGTAGACCTGACCCACACCACGTGGGGGAGGAAACTGCGACTCTGTGTTGACTTTAGACAGTACATGTAAATGAGGTAATAATACCTGATAAATACCCACTTCAAAAGATTGATGAAATTTTCAGTGAGTTGAGAAATACATCAGTATTAGATTTGCAACTTGCATATCACCCATTATTATTGCATAAAGATTCTAGAAGCCTGACTACGTTTATTAAGCATGAAGGTTCCTGTACAAAAGGGTATGTTCTGGCTTAATATCATCCGCACCTTCAGGGTTCCAAAAAGGGATGACCTAACATGCCCTAACAGATGTTATTTTGAACTATCCCACAGCTGGGGGGGTTCCCCAGAACTTGGCTGTGCCTCTCTTGACTTTTAAAAATTTGTCATACATGTATTGCTCCCTTATTGCCACAAATGTTTAGTTTGGACTCAATTAGATTTTTTACAGTTTTGTTGTGACGGTCATCTGAAATTCAAGGCTACATGTGTAAGCACTGCAGTAGAAAAGCATACATTTTTGGTATGTACAATTTTCACAAATTGATTTCAAAATGACCGCCAGGAAAAATGTTGAGGTGGGGAGATTCCCCCAGGCTCTTTTAGAGTTATGGATATGCAGAGTTACCAAGACAATTTGATCATCTATGGTAAAGATCAAGCCAAGCATGATGCAAACTTGCAGCAGTTTTTGAAAAACAATAAATGTGTGGTGTTAAACTGAAGAACAAATTTTGTTCTTAAGATTGAGTTTAAAATTCTTAGGCCATACTGTACATTCAACTGATATTCAGGTTAATGACAAATACAGAGCCATCACAAATGCTCCATTGCACCATGACTAAAAAGTCTCAGGTCAGTTCTAGGCTTTCCAGTGTATTTCTCAACATACATGTACATACCTCAATTTGCCACCATGGTAGAATCTTTAAGAGCACTATTGCGTAATGACCAATATTTGTTTGCATTGAAGAAGCCCAACAAAGCGTTGAAGTGTTGAAAAGCAAGATTGCGAGCAGTCCCACACTTTCCATGTTTGATCCAGATGCAGATATCATCCTGAAAATAGAGCATATGACTTAGGT